TTCATCCTTTATCTGTACATTAAAAACATTACATATACATTTGTCCATAGGGGGTTCAGTTTTTCTAATGCAATCCCCACCAAACTGGATGAAGGGAAACACCACACATGCATCCATTTCCAGTAACATACTTGAGAATCTTGAACTGCTAACTGGTACCATGTAAAATTAGTTATTGCCTCAGTAGGAGCAAAGGATTCTTCAGATTGTATCCCAGTAGGACAAACCCATTTGTTATAACTTTATTTTTTGTAATGCATTTCTAGATCTCTTAATGCACCACTAATCCATTGAGCTCTCAGAGTGAGCATCCAAAATGACTGATGGATTAGTCTGTTTAAATGTTCAGATTCCGTTATAATATGCATTGCAGTATTGCTATCGCTATTATTACCAATACAATTTGAAATGCAATTAGCTTTACATCATATAATTATTTCCTCTGAAACAGCTGATTAAAAATAGTGAACTGCTTTGCGTTACATCCACCACCCCCCCAAAAAAAAAAACCTCTAAACCCAAACCAAACCAAAAAACAAACAACTAGATAGAGTTAGAATATCCTGTCCAGGTCAGGTTAGTGTTCTTTCTAATCCACATATAGTACAGTCCCTTAAAATTGGAAAATTCGGTCAGTAACACAGGATTAGTCTCAGTATTCTGAAACACAATGTCATTGATCCATTGCATTCATTTTCTGCAATCCTCAAGATAAGGGAAGTAAATACATTCATTATTTCTGTTATTGATATCAATCATGGGAGGTACATCTATCTCCACTGAGAAAAATGCAGTTTCTCTTGTTTGAAGATATATATATATATATTTTAATCACTGCAGTCTGTTCCTGTTCTCGTTTCTAACTTCAGCCATGATAATTGACCTGTAATGTAAAGTATATCATCCCTCTCTTATGCATATGACAAAACAAAAAAAAATGGCCAAAGGAAAGCTAATGTATTTAGACATCCATCTGTCCAAAGGAAGCTGCTTATTTTTGGTTTTGTTACCTTTATCTTATATCTAATTGGTATCATTGGTAGTTAACTCCTTTTAGCTGGGATACAGGTACCCACTTACTTACCTTTTGGCTCTCTGATAAAGAGGGGTCATGTAGTTGTTGACTGTAAAGGCTCCTTACCATTTAGTTTGTAAGTTATGGTTTTTTGGGTGTCAGTTTCAGGTACATGACTGGAATCCCCTACTTCCCATACATGCATATCCAAAGGAGCACCTTCACTTCTTTCTTTCCTACTTCTCTCAATTGTTTTAATTTTTTTTCTTGTATCTCTAACTACTCCTGATGCGTCTCAGTCACCCAAGCCTAAAACATCTTCTTCCATGGCAGTTTCTGGTGACACCAAGGGTATAATCAACTTCATTCTTGTTCCAAACAAAACCTGGTAGGTTTGGATACCAGTTTATGGAGTCCCTTGGTGGCAGAAAACTTCTTGAAACATTTTTTTTCTATAACTGCTGCTATGTGCTGCTTTACAAGAAAGGCCTCTGCCCATCCAGAAAAGGAATAGATCACTGCCAGATAATATTCATCATCACAGACTGTCTTTGGCAGCTTATATATGTAATCTGTCCATTGTAACGTCTGTGGTCCTACAGTCTGCACCAAGGTGCACCAAGGGGAGCTGACTTGTTTTGGGTCTTGTCCCCTCTTGTGTGCATTTAAGGCAATTTTTAAACTCAGTTCCTGATATCTGCTTCTATGCCTTCCCATGTTGTAATTTCCTTGACATGCCTAAGGGGATGTTTCCAGCTTTCATGTGACATGTCATGGCATGTTTATCAATTCCGCTTTGTCTCTTTCCATTTCCTGTTTGTTTTGATCCTGTTGTTTTTGTTGTGTTCTAGTAACTGCCATTGCTATTTGTTTCATGCCCCCCAGGCTGGCAGCCTTTTTAGCAGCTAAATCCACCTTATTGTTCCATTCAGCTTCTGGGTTCTCATTCTTTTGGTGAGCCTTTTACATGTCTAATTTGTAACTGGTTTCCAGGATGTTTTCCCCATGTATGAATCTTATCCCATCAATTCTTATTTAAAATGAACTTTCAATCACCTGATTTCCATCCCCTCTTGTCCGAATCAAACATCCAATATAATATTCTCTCCATGCAGTAATCAGAATCAGCTAAAATCATGATCTGTCCAGCTTTTTGTTGTCTGATGACCTCTAAGATTGCCCTTAATTATGCATGCTGGGCTGATCCACTTGGCAGTGCTCCATGTATTTTATCCTTATTTGTATTTAGAGCTGCATGACTTGTGCATCGCTTTCCCTCAAAGCATATAGAGCTTCCATCAGTAAACCAAGTTTCATTTGCACTATTGTTTTGCATTAACTCTTTAAAATCTTCTACAATCTAATGTGTAGGGCATTCCACATAAATGTTTGGGTGCTTGTATTCTGCTCTCTCACTAATAAGGACATGTGTTAAGAGATCAGGTTTGTTTAAACTTTCAGAGGTTACTCCACAGTTCATCAATAATAATGGTCAGTCAGCAATATAGGTATTAGAAACACTACTTCCTGTCAGTGACCCCAATAGAAAATACTTTATTAGAAAGCGTATTGCCTGAACCATAACAGAGGCTGTACATGTAAATATCAATGTTTTGCACTGCCCAAACGGCTGCCAAACACTCCTGCTCGGAGGCTGAATAATCCAATTACAGTTCCACTAGTTTTCTGTATTTATATGCTACTGGGATGAGCTTGCCCTTTACATCTTTACATCTTTACAGCAAAACAGCTGCAAAGGCTCCTGGTGTGGTGGCTAATTGAATGTAAAAGGGATGTGGTGAATCTGGCATTTTTAGAGCTGGGGCTTGAAGAGCTGATGACTTTAATTGCTTTAGTGCTTTCTGCTCTGGATCCCAGTCTGTCTCTTCTTCTTTAACAGCTATGTTAACAGGCCCACTATGCCTACATACTTAAAAAATGTGCTGTCACAAGAAATGAAATCCTCCCAATACCACTCTCAGTGAATGTTCATCTATGGGACAGACATTTTAACCTAAGTTTCAGTGTTCTCTATCTGCCTTCCCTGATGTGATAGCTCTAGTAAGCCAGTCAGCAAAGTTATGACTATCAAGTTTTCCCAAATCCTCAGCCATCACTTGGAGATCCCTAGAAATAGCAGGCAGGGCAGTTATGATTTGAGATTTTTGTATCACCCATTCAGTCTACAGTGAGGGATACCTTCCTCACTACTTCTACTTTAACAGGGCTGTTAAGGTTATTATGTATATCCCCACTCAAAGCATCATTATCATCATCATTCAGAGCCTTCCAAACTACAGATCCAAATAAGTTGTTCCCTACTATTGAGGTTATTTGTTTCCTTAAAGCAAGTATGTGCATAGATTATAACTGGAATGGAGCATGATAAAGTTTGATCTGCACAATGCAAAATGAAGACCTCTATCCAGTAACTTTCTAACTGAGCCCGATAACTTGTCTGTCTGAAAACATGCTGTTTCAAACTAAGTCTTGCCTTTACTTGAGGTCTTTGAAGACAATCTTGCATTTTCATTTATAAGTTTTTCAAGGTATGGCTATACTTGTTTTGCAATATATTACTTCCTGACTGATTTTTTTGTTTTTAGCTCTAACTTCCAGCCCTGTCCCCATTTATCTGATAGATTGGGGCATTTTTCTATTGGATATTCTTTCCTTGTGTAATTACTTACAGATGGTCAAATTGCCTTGTATCATTTCAAGCTGGAGTGGTATGTATGTTGAGTTTTGGCTAAAGACCAGAGATTATCAGGATAAACAATTACCACCTCATCATATTAATTGCTTGATCTGGTGTTGACTGTAGTAGTTTAAATAGTATGATTCATACTCTTATTCCCTTCCCCCCCCTCTTTTAAGTGTCCTTATATGACCTTAGTGTTCCTGTCTGCCTCTCTGTTATGTAAACAGGGATTCTCTAGACTTGCCTGGGGGTGCCTGCGCTGCCCACCTTTGGCAAATGATCTGGATAACAACTCCTGTTAAGATAAGAGTGTGGGTGTAAATTTTGTGTGTGTGTGTGTGTTGAATACACAGAACTGTCTGGTTTGCCTAAAACTGATCATGTTAAAGAGGAAGAAAATCATCAGCTGGATTAAACAGTAGCCAGGGAATTCATAGAATTGTAGAATCACAGAATGGTTGAGGTTGGAAGGCACCTCTGGAGATCATCTAGTCCAAGCAGGGTCACCTAGAGCAGGTTGCTCAGGGCTGTGTCCAGTTGGGTTTTGAATAGAGACTCCACAACCTCTCGGGGTAACCTGTTCCAGTGCTCTGTCACCCTCATAACAAAAAAGTGTTTTCTTATGTTCAGATGGAATTTCCTGTGTTTCAGTTTGTGCCCGTTGCCTCTCGTCCTGTCACTGGATACCACTGAGAAGAGTCTGGCTCTGTCTTCTTTACACCCTCCCTTCAGGTATTTATACACATTGATAAGATCCCTCCTGAGCCTTCTCTTCTCCAGGCTGAACAGACCCAGCTCTCTCAGCCTTTCCTCATATGAGAGATGCTCCAGTGCCTTAATCATCTTTGTGGCCCTTCACTGGACTCATTCCAGTAGTTCCATGTCTCTCTTGTACTGGAGAGCCCAGCACTGGACACAGTACTCTAGATGCAGCCTCACCAGGGCTGAGGAGAGGGGGAGGATCACCTCCCTCGACCTGCTGGCAACGCTCTGCCTAATGCAGCCCAGGATACCATTGGCCCTCCTGGCCACAAGGGCACATTGGTGGCTCATGGTCAACATGTTGTCCACCAGGTCCCCCAGGTCCTTCTCTGCAGAGCTGCTTTCCAGCCATTTGGTCCCTCAAAGAGACTTCTGAAACAAAGGAGTCAGCCTGGAAAGAAGTCTAAAAAACATGACAACTTTTAGCAAGGGGGAGAGACCTTGGTCTGGAAAGAGCAGTAGACAAAACCTGGGTTTGACGCTGCCAGAAGTGGCCCCGCCGGCATCACAACCTCCGCCTAGGCCTGACAGAGCAGCCTCCTCCCTGTGGGATGCCGTGAGTATCCTGCCTCCAGCTAGTGGGCTGTCAGTACGGGGTGCACCAAGTAGGGGCCCACCCCTCGGGGTGCATAGGTGACCTTGTGGGGGGCTTTCTCACCAGCGCGTGGATTTGCGGGTTGTAGGGAGCAGCACGGGCGCACGTATGGCCGGAGCACCTGAAGCTCCCACAGGAGGGGTATGCAAGTAGGAGAACCTGCACTCCCAGAAGGGGGGTGTGCTTGTAACCCACCCGTCCTGTGAGGGGGGTGTGTGCATATAACATGTGAATGTGTGTGTGGGGAACAGAACTTCCTTGGATTAGTTATAGAAGGATTTTTATAAATTTTTAGGTCTTGATTAATATTTTGTTAGTGACCAGTACTGTGGTTGTTTCTAATACTGTTGCATTCCTGATATTGATTCTGAATGTATAGTTCACTGATTACTGGTTAATTATATGTCATTAATAAATTCATAAACTGCTTTGATCCTGATTTGGTTTTAACTAGGTGAACTGGGCAGTTCTTCCTTGTGAAAGACTTGTTCAGTACAGAAAGTGCATGGTATATATGGAGTGGTGTATAGAAGTCTTCAGTCTTGCATCAAAACACAGGGTAGGAGTGCAGAACTGCAACTGTATTGTGATGTGGAGCTGCTTTTACTTGCAATAGTTTGAGTTAAAAATAGAATTTCAGATTATATAAAGGTTTAAACTTCAGCCTAAAATGCACATCTGTGTTGAAGGAGTCTAATGCTCATAAACTCTTAAGAATAAAAATTCAGACACTGTTCTGGTAGCCTGTGCCACTTCTGCAGTTGTTACTTCCTAATACACTGAGCTTTCCAAAGTTAATTTGGGTTTCTTTTGCTAGACAACGCTCTGGGTTTGCACTTTGAAGTGTGCATCTGCCACTATGTGCATTTGAACAGCCCAATTTTGTGCATCTGCCTCTGAATTCAAATACACAAATTGTAGGGGGGTTGGGGGGGGTGTGGGGGCGCTTTGGTTTGTGTTGGGGTAAGGAGTACCTTTCAGTGGGATGAGCTTACATAACTTTCCACTCAGCTTCTGCTGCCAGGCCCCAGACTGGTTAAAATTGGAAAGGGAGATCAGAAAAGTGGGAGAAAATGCCCTTGCTTTTAAGTGGAATGTTGAGACTGTTACAAGTGATAAAAAAATCTTCCTGGATACAGTAGGTTTAATGATGTTTAGCCCTGTATATGGCTCGCTCTCTTGTCTCTGTAGCTGCAGTGAACAATGTTCTTGGAGCTGTGTGAAGCTAGAGGGGTTCTGAAGCAAAGGACAGGCAAACAAGGGTTGAAATGTCTGAGATTCTAGGGAAATATGCAAACAATGGCTTTGTAAAAGCATTTAGTCTTTAATCTGGTAAACTTTTCCAAGATAACGGTACTGTAGTGTAAAACAAGTACTAAGGTGGGTAATAAAGTGAGTATTATATCTATGAAGCTGTTGACTGGATTAATTCTTTGCCAAAAAGCATCATTATGTATCTTGTTTACAAGTATGGGGCCAGCTTTTCAGGGTGTTCAGTACAGGAAAGTATTTGTCTCAGGTATCTGTGCAAAGGTGTGGTTAGATATCCAGTTAGGTGGGACATTTTTAAATGTATGCCACCTGTTGAGCAACTTCTGTCACAAACTTTGTGACAAATGCTGTGCTCTGCCTGTTGTAGTAGCAGATCAAGATCTGGTGAGGTCTTCCTCTGCTTGCTTCCCTGAGTTGTTCAGGTGCTAAATAATGATGAATGGTACAAAACAGAGACAGGGCCTCCTGAACCAAGGAGCTCAGGATTTAGCTAAAGGAAGCTTCAAGGCATAGAATGTTTTGACTAACCCAATGGGATGAGTGCATTGTACAGTGCAGCAGGGTTTAAAAAAAGTAGAGCACTTCCATTGAGAGTCACAGGAAAGTGACCTTTTTAAAAACTCTGATTTGAATGGAGGAAGATTGTACAACTGGATAAAAAGGAAGATTTGAAGAACGATATAAGGAAGGATGAAGGTGGAAACGTGGATAGAAACAAACAGGATAAAGAAAAGTACAATTTTAATTTATCCGGACCCAATAGGATCTTGTCTAGTCTGAGATGGAGGTGCAGAATTCCTGTTTCTTTCCGCACTGCCTCTCCAAAGGAGCAAAGGGACCTAGCAAAAGAAGTGAAGACTAAAGATGGTAATTAGGCATAGTCTAGGCTATCAGATCTCTATTGCAGGGGATCCCATATCAGTCCATGGGAATCTCTTGACAGTGGTCTGAAAGCTGGCCAGTCATAAGGTGTTTGCGCTTCATCCATACTTGCTAACTTTCATTAAAAGTCAGTACTGTCCAGGTGGGTAACTGCTTTTGTTGTTACAGGGATCCTGTGCGAGCATGTGTCCTATTGATGGTTATGTAATCTTTAAATGGTTCATATTTAAAAAAAAAAAAATCTCCTGCTATACTTCTGTAGGTCTGCTTGTTTGCTCCTTGAAATGAACAGATACCATACAGAATTTTAGAAGAACTACAAGTTTTATTGGCAAACATTCTGCTGTTATAAGGAATCTCTTCTTCACATGTTTGTTTTGTATTTGTTGTGTTAACTTAAATTCCAGTTTATGAATGACTAAATTGGAAATACCTTAGAAAAGGTGCTAATCACAGTTGTATTTCTGTCCAATTTGCAGGTTTCTAGATAATCGACTGTTCGCAACCTGTTCTGATGACACTACAATAGCACTTTGGGATCTGAGAAAGCTGAATACAAAAGTGTGCACTTTACATGGCCACACCAGCTGGGTGAAGAACATTGAGTTTGATACCAATACAAGATTACTAGTAACATCAGGGTTTGATGGAAATGTGATCATTTGGGACACCAACAGGTATGTGGCTGCATGTGTGCTGTTATGTTTTTAGAGCAGACAAAGATAGGATTCTTCAGATGGAAAACCTACTTCCTTGAATGGTAATTTAATGCATGTTAAATACTGTGATCAGTTTATAGCCTTTGTCAAGAATTTGCTTTGCCTTTATGCAATAGCAGCTCAGAAGTTACCAAGAGGCTTTTTTTTCCCTGAGACTACAAAATTCAGTTCTTTCAAGTTGAAAATGTTCTGCCTTTGTTTTCATAGTAGTGTGAACATGTAGATTCCTTTACTTCATTTAAAATCTAGTTTAAGTAGAATGAAGGCAGTGTGCAAAACTATTTTGGGATAGATGATATGCTCAGCACATCTTGAACTGTTCTGGATGTTATTAGGGATTTGAGTCTGACTTCAATGCAACCATTTCTTCCTTTTCACTGTCCAGGTGCACAGAAGATGGATGTCCTCACAAGAAGTTTTTTCACACCCGTTTTCTCATGCGGATGAGACTAATGCCAGACTGTTCCAAAATGTTGATCTCAACCTCCTCTGGATATCTTCTGATTTTGCATGACCTTGATTTAAACAAATCTTTAGAGGTCCGCAGCTACCCAATATTAAGAGCTAGGAGAACTACATCAAGTTCAGGTGAATGTTTGTGGAAAAGTCTGTAATAGCTTCTTTGATAGAGGTATTTTATGCAACACTTAGCTAATGGAAGAAGGTAGAGGTTGGACTAGAAAGACTCTAAAGATAAACTTTCGCTAAGGTTGCTGTTTTATGTTGTTCAAGGGTCATGTAGATATCTGTATTATTGACGTATGACACATTCTGACTCAGAGGTGTGCAAAGTGTCTTGGGTGATTCTTGATATCAAGACTTCAATAATATAGCACTAGAGCTTTTGCAAGTTTGACACTTCAGGCTGATAATCTTTACTTTTCCTTCAGTCTAACATCCTTGATGCTGTAATGAAGACGACCTAAGCCATGTTGAATGGGCTGAATGCATATGTACTCCAACAATTACTGATGGCTGTTGTGTAGTGCTGCAGTTGTGTTCTCAGCAGCAGAGCTGATAGGATTCTGTGACATGAAATTTTATGGCCTGTTTCATTCTGCTGTGTGGCAGTAACATAACAAAATAGTGATAGTCACTAAAAACTCTGCCGTTCTTTCCCTTTTTTGACCTTCACTTTCCTTTGCAGATTGTCATTGGCTCAAAATAATGCAAATACATGCTTGTCCTCTAAAAATGACTTTAAAATGGCATAGTGGACTTCTGTTTGTTACTCCATAATAAAGCAAATTTTCTATTGTTAGTGGAGCAGCTGACTTCTAGTGGCTGCTTGTATGGATGATCCCTTAACTTCACTTTTGGAGCAATTGTTGTCTTCCAGATCACCTTCAGTGGTGATAAAGACATTAGCTTAAACCCTGTCCCCAGTTACGTCTACAAGGTGCCTAAATGGAGTGGCATGGGGAAGAGTTTATATTCCAGCTTGTAGTAGTGACAGTGCATAAGAAGGAAAGAATGCCACTCACCTCTTCTATCCCTGGTAGAGTTTGTAGTGCTGGTACTTTTAGGATGTGCTTCTTAAATGAAAAAGTCTGAAAAAATAAAATGCATTTGGGCAATCTTTTAAAAACATGTAGGTGTCTGATTCCCAGTGAAATCAAAATCTGACTCTTGCTGCTTAATAGTAATTCACTTTGGGCTATAAGCTGCACTGTCTGCAATTCTTATAAAAGTATTTTTTAATGCGATGTGTATCTGCTTAAGGTTTTGCATAACATTGATAGGAAGGTTAAATAAGGGACAATATAGTAAAAGGGCTAAGCTTAACTGTTATGTTCACATGGCTGCTTCTTTTTTCAGACATGACATCTACCAGTTCATCTGGTCCTCGAGCTGTTGGTTCATGTCACTGTAATGATTTGGGTTCACTGTCTGAGAAATACATGTCACGATCCTCACAGCGAGAAGGTAGGTAAAGATCAAAAAGAGGCCAGAGTATACAACTGAAAAACTGCTTTTTAACTTCTTGTCTCTTTTGACTATCAAAATAAAAATCTTGCAATGATTTATGTGAAATCAGTAAATAATATTGGAGCAAAGCATGGCAAAGTCTGAAAGTCTGATATGCTTTTCTCTCTTGAAATCTGAAAAGTGACAACATCTTTATTTTACATTAGAACATAATCTTTGTTATCAGATTAATTCAGTTTAGTTATACTTAATATATTGGGTAGTGTTACTCAGGATTTGTGGTTCTGTAGAGTAGTTGGAATATATAGCTCACAAATTGTGATACTGCCTTTTCCTTTTTTTTCCACTCATTTCATACAAAATACCTTTTAAAAAAAGCATCCTTTAGAACAGCAGATCTATTCCTTACAGCTGTCTTCTGTTATTTGTTTGCATCAGTGATGGAGATAAGTATTTAGTGTTTGCACATGCAGATCCAATAGCATGGGAAAAGAATGGGCAGCTTGTTTTTTGCCTCTCCCTTGAATGTTAGCAGAATTGTTTGTGAAGTTCTAATTACAAAGCAAGTCCTAGCTAAATACAAATCTATTAATAGGGATGATCCCATGCTTAGCAAACTGAGATTGGGTCTTGGATGTACTTTCATAGAGACAGCATGAGCTTGGGCAAATTGGTAAATATGTGAGTCACTTCCCACTTGTAAAGTGAAGATAGTGTTGAGGATTAACTGCTTATAATTGTGAGGTGCTCAAACACAGTGGTAAGAGGATGAGGGTTATCTGGACCCCAGGACAGGATTTACCTGTAAAAACCTCTGTTACTGATGGGGGGAGAGAGGGAAGGAATGAGGCAAGCAGCACACAGACCAGCAGCTCTGTAATGAATGTTTGAGAAGCATTAGTTCCTTAAAATGTTCTTTTTAAAGTTACACTAGAACAGCACTTTTAGTGACTTTCTATTTCAATGATAATGAAAAGTGTGGACAGTTACACCCTGACTTTGTTCATGTACATTATATGAGATGATCTAACACAGGTCTTTGAAGAATGAATTTCAAGACAGACTATATGGAATTGGGACTGAGTCCTCTGGTATTAACTTCAGCTGTTCATATAACCTTTACTTAGGTTTACCCCTTCATAAAGCTAGTACACAATCTTTTCTAGCTCTGTTGGGTTAAAGTTGGTGAAGCAGTTGGGTATAAGATTCAAATGCTTGACTGCTCTCAATAGTAGACTAAGCAAAGAGGTGAAAATGAACACACAGTGTCAATGAAACTTACAATTGGCTTCCCTTCCTAGGTGTATCACCACGAAATAGTCTGGAGGTTTTAACACCAGAAGTTCCTGGAGATAGGGACCGTGGGAACTGCATTACATCACTACAGCTCCATCCAAAAGGGTGGGCTACTCTTCTTCGGTGCTCAAGTAATACAGATGACCAGGAGGTAAAGCAAGAAGTGTTTGATGCTTCTTATTAAAAATAATTTTTAAAAATCATAGAACTACATCACAAATTCCTTCTTTTCAGGTAAATGTAGACTTTGCATGTATGAATCAGTCAGTTGAGTTCCTAATGCACTGCAACTAGAAATAATTTTTAGATTTGAGATTATAAAGCTCTACTTTTTAATGGCTTCCTTATAAGAAGCTTTGTGTCCTGCACTAGAATCATAGAATAATCACAGATCACAGAATCACAGAATAGTTGAGGTTGGAAGAGGTCTCTGCAGGTCATCAAGGACAGCAAGAAGGGGTTCTTCAAATACATCAATAGCAAAAGGAAGACTAGGGAAAATGTGGGCCCGCTGCTGAATGGGGCGGGTGCCCTGGTAACAAAGGATACAGAGAAGGCAGAGTTGCTGAATGCCTTCTTTGCTTCAGTCTTCACTGCTAAGGCCAGTCCTCAGGAATTCCAGACCCTGGGGACAAGAGAGGAAGGCTGGAGAAAGGAAGACTCTCCCTTGGTGGAGGAGGATCGGGTCAGAGATCTTTTGTCCAAACTTGACATCCATAAATCCATGGGCCCTGACGGGATGCATCCGCGAGTGCTGAGGGAGCTGGCGGATGTTATTGCTAGGCCACTCTCCATCATCTTGGAAAGGTCCTGGAGATCAGGCAGTCTTCAAAAAGGTCAAGAAGGAGGAGCCAGTGAACTACAGGCCTGTCAGGTGATGGAGCAGCTCCTCCTCGAGGTCATCACTAAGCATGTGGAGGACAAGAAGGTGATCAGGAGTAGTCAGCATGGATTCACCAAAGGGAAAT